GCGGGGGGGGGGGTCAGACTGGGATTGAGGGGCGCCGGCAGAGCTCCACAGCAGAGACCCAGTCCATGCTCTGCCTGCCTCCCGCTAGCATGACCCTCCCGTCCCTGAGCTTGGCCCTGGCGAGTGGCAGCGCCCAGGTCTCCGTTCTTGAGGGCACTGGGGGGACACACACCTGCCACTCTGGGGACTTGGAGTAGGAGAGGGTCTCACTGCTCAGCCAGAAGTAGCGTTTCTTGAAGGTGAAGCGTGGGAGCAGGTGGAGCCCCTCGGCCTTGCGCTTGTGCAGGTAGCCCTCCTTGATGGTGACCGAGGGGTGGAAGAGCGTCCGGGGCTGGGCCTTGCCCGCTGTGTGGAGAAGAGATTGGGGTTACCCCGTCCATCTGCCTGGTGAAACGCCAGCACCTGCACCAGGCCAGGTTTTGCCTGACAACGACCCCCCTGGACCCGGGGAGACGTGTGCTCTGGTACCTACATGCTGGGGAAGCCAGGGTCTGCATCACCTCCCCACCCCAGGCCAGGGCGATGACCCACAGTCAATGCCGGGCTCCCTCTGGGCAGACCCAGGCTAAATGAGTGGGGAGGCTGGATTCTCTGCCCAGCCCAGAGGAGAGCGAGCCCTGGCCAAGCACAGGGAGAGGGGCTGCCCCCCAGCCCACCCCCTCCCAGGGGGCGGCACCCCCAGCCCCCAACCAAGAGAGCGGCGATTTCTGCAGTCAGTCATTGACCCCAATCACAGCGGGCCTGGCGCGCAGTAGCCGTGGAGCTGGGGTACGGGCTGCCCTTGCAGGAGGGGCTGCTGAGACCTGAGGCACACACAGGAATCGTTCAGGGCAGTTTGGTCACTCAGATCCACACTTGTCCCCGGGCCTCCCAGAGCCAGGCTCAATGGCAGGAATGGCCCATTCTCCAATGGCCGAAGCATACACAGTGTTCCCCAGAAGGGGGCGCCATTTTCCTGCAGATCCCAGCCCTCTACACAGAACTCTCCCCAAAGCTCTGCATTTTAATTAGTAATCGGGGCAGGGAGAGCGGTGCCCATCGCACCCCTTGCCCGGGCTGGCTCTCCTGGGAGTCAATCGCAGGGGATTTCAGCTGCTCTGCTTCCAAACGGGCCCAGCAAGTCTGGGGGGCACAAACACAGGAGCTGGCCAAGCTTTTCCAACCCAGGCAGTGCTCCGGGCGTCAGATCAGTGTGGGGCGCTTCCAGTCTCAGCCTAACCTGCCCCCGCAGGGCTACAAGGGCACAACGGAGCCTCTGCAGAAGCCCTAAGGAAAGGGTCCAGCCTGGCCCAGTCAGAAGGGGAAGCTGCTGAATGGAAAGGAGCAAAGGCAGATCTGGCACTGACTGGGACCTGTGGGGCACCTATTGACACCAGGGTGAGCTGGGTGTGCCAGGACAGCAGGGGCGAGGCTGGGATTGAGGGGCAGTGGCAGAGCTGGCGAGAGCTCACGGGACTCAGAGCTGCAGTCTGACTCTTGTGAGAGAGACTGGACATGGGCTGCTCCTCTAATGGCCTGACTCAAAGTCCAGGGAGTCGTTCCCCTGACTGTGGGTTTGGGCTGAGGGCCCAGGTGTGCTGTACGGGATGGAGAATGGGCTGGCTCTGGTCCTTTAACGTCCTCCCTGCCCACAACGCCTGCCCACTGTGCTCACCCCTGGTCCTGCACAACTCCCTGTTCTGCACCAGCCAGGCCATGGCCAGCCCACGAGCGCCCGGCATGGTTAGACTGTCAGCTGGCCTTGGTGCAGAGCTGGGACTGAGCTGTGCTTAGCTGTGCCACAGGGACTCTGCCGCTGGGCTGGGCTTTGGAACCTGGCTAGGACACTTGGGTCCTGTCCTGTCCGGGCTGAGGCCAGCCACATTAGGAGAGCAGCAGCCATGAGCTAAGAAGCAGAAAGTCTCATCCTCACATTCCATCTAAATTGCATCAAAACAATGTAATATTGGGCTGTTAAGGAGGCTCCCGCCCCAATAGTGCCCAGCATCACCAGAGAAAGAAACAGATCGTAAGCCGTTTAGGGAGAACGTTGTTTGACAGCATTCTGTCTGGCAAGGAATCGCCTAACAGCTGTGATTGTGAAATCTATACTTCCATTGTTTTGCCTTCATGGTCCCTGCTTCTCTATTGTTTATCTGTCAGGTTCTTTGATTGTTTCTGCCTGTTGCAGCATTAATTTTGCAAGATTTAAATAAGCTCAGGTGGTGGGGGTGGTTGGGTAAAGAGTGGTTTGGTAATGGGCTGGGCTGGGTGAAAAATGCTGGTTTGCAGGACTTTCGTTTACAACGGCTGGTGACAGTAGAGCTAAGCAGGACTCAAGTTTCACTATAATAACTGGGGTCCAAAAGGAATTTCTTGAGGCTCCAGGGCACAGCCCACGATCAGAGCTGCCAGACCTCAACACCCTGCCAACTACATCGTGCAGAAGCTGGAGTCTCTGGAGGACCTGATCCTGGCTGGCCACTAGGAAAAGTCCATCTGATTATGGGGAGTGGTGAGCACTGTATGCTTAGCGTGTATGTTCTGCTTAGATAACTGTTAATAGCGGTTAAGGATATTACTGCGTAAGGCTCTTTCACTGGTAAAAGGCCCCGCAAACCCGCAGAAGATTACACCCCGAGCCCTAGGAACTGGGTAAGGGTGGCCTGGAGCCCTAGGAGCTGGGAAAGTGTGGAGGTGCCTAAATTAACCGAGTTACACCTTGTAAAGGTGGGGTGCTGTAGAGTGCGCAGGTACCAGCGCCCGCTGCAAGATCAGCCCATGCCCTCCCCATGCCCGGCGCTATCGCGTTGTGTCCGGGGCCCACGACACAGGAGCTGTTCGTAGCACGGACAGGGCCCCAGATGACTGGGAGTTGCATGGCTGGGGTGGCATGTGAGGCCGTGGTAACTCAGTTGATCTCAAGAGGAAGCAGCTGGTCTCCTGGTACCTAAGGGTCCCCCCCTCCGGGGACGGGCAGAGAATCCAGCCTCCATGCTCATTTAATCCTGGATCAGTCCCTCACAGCGTTCTCCTTCTAGCCCCCGCCCTGCCCCCCACGCCATGCTCAGTCTGAGAGACAAGCTGTGCCCACCAATCCTGGAGGATGCTCCCTAACCCCCCCATGGCCCTGGGGACCCCAGACCCTGCACTGGGGGGGCAGGGAACATGGAGAGAGCAGATGATTTCTAGCCATCACCTTCCTCACTGTCTGGCAACAACTGCTGATTTGAATCCCCTTTAAATACCAAACGAGCAGGGAACTGGTGAGAAACACCACCAAGGGCTGCACACTCCGGGCTCCATCCTGAGGAGTGCTGAGTACCCGGCCACTCCCACTGACATCCACCCCAGGTGCTTGGCGCTGCTCGGCCCAAGCCTTTTGCCGCTGACAGCATAGGTTTGCGTGGCAGGGCCTGGGTGGAAACTCAGTTCCCCCCTTCCTAGGGGCAAGGCAGGGGGGGGCAAGGGGCAGGAAGCGGTGGTTGCCCCAGGGAGGGCGAGGACCGAGGGCCCTGCGTGGGGCAGCATGGAGATGGAATCCCCCTTCCCAAGGGTGGGAGAGTGCCAGCACTCTGGCTCCAGGACAGACCAGCGGCTCCTCCAGGTCACAGGCCAGGGCTGCGCGGCAAGAAGACAGCAAGGGCCTGGGCTCCTGCACAGCTGTGGGATCTGAGAGAGGGATCGTCCCAATCCAGAGCCCTGCATACGCTCGTCCCCCTCCAGAGCCTGGACAGCAGCTAGCAGGGCTCCCTGCCCTACCTCCTCTGGGGCAGCCCCCTGCACACCCTGACAGTCACCACAGCTCTGCTATTCCCCTGCCCACGCCTGAGCGAGCCCGGCAGACTCACCCGCTTTGACGGCTACATTCTGCAGCTGTCATATGGGATCGAGTCAGCGCCCTGAGCTGGGGGAGCAGATCCCAGCCATGGCTGCACTGGACACATTGCAAGAAACAGCCCACTCCCACACCTCGCCCGGGGGCCCAGACCACCTCCCCTTCCCTCTGGCTGGAGATGGGGGCTGTCTCTCCCGCACTGAAGCGCAGGGATGGGACACCAAAGGGGCAATGGTGCTGGAGCTGAGTGTGGGCTGGAGACACCGCCTAGGACGCCCTGAACCCTTCCAAGGTTTGGCGCAGAGCCGGGCAGGACTGAGGGATGTGAGGGGCCAGACGATCAGCTGGGTGTCAGTTTGACGTATCTTGCCGTGACATCCTGCCAGTCACACGCGAGAGATGGTTGCCTCTTTGCCCTGCTAGTGCAGTGACTGTGCTCCAGCCCCATTGCACCCGCTTCCAGCAAACGCTCGACTGACCGAGCTTCGAGGCAAAGAAACGTTTCCATGGTTGTCCAGTCAGAGAGCAGAAACACCGCCATGTGCCTGACCTGACCAATGGCGACAGACGCACAGCTTAGCTTGCAAACTGATTGGACAGAGGATTCGGAATTCAGGGGCCAGCTCCACCAAGGGATTTAGGGTCCTACAGATTCCATGGAAGAAGGAGTCTAACAACTTTGGTGGCTCTGGCTGGGGGATGGGAGGGACGCCCTGTCTGCTCCCAAAGGTGCTGCCGGCACCCGACTGCCCAGCTGCGGTCGCGATGCGGCTTCGGGGAGCTGAGGCCACTGCTCTGTGGCGTGACTTCCCCGCTGCCTGAGACGGGTTGGCGTGGGCCCCACATCCCTCTCCCTTTGCCCGCTGGTGGCACCCAGAGGCACCACCCGGGCCGGAGCCCCCTTGTGCTGAGCGCCGCCTTCTCCGCACCCGGCAGCATCAATACTTGCAGCAAGCCCAGGGCAGGAAAGGGGGCGGCCCTGAGCCCAGCGCTTCAGGGACTCACCACTCTCGCTGTCCACGTCGATGAGCTTGTCCAGGAAATCCTTGACGCGGGTGATGCTGGGAAGGATGAAGGGGTGCAGCGGAGCCATCCACTGCTCCTTGCCATGTCCCAGCTGCAGGCCGAGGTTGCCAATGCTCTGCACTGCCTGCCAGGGAGAGGAGCAGCGAGGGGGGTCACAGTGCAGCCACGGGATCTGCAGGACGTCTCTCCAGCCTGGCTCAAGCCCCACCAGGGCTTTGGACCCTTTGCTGGACAGGGTCAGTACCATCCCAGGCCACGAGCATCCCAGGGAAAACCAGGCCAGTGGCTACTGGAATGGAGATGATCAGATGCCATCTATGCTGCCTTCCCTTTGCCTGTATATTGCCCTTGGGACAGGGACCTGCCTGCCTGGCACTGGCTCTGAGTAGTACAGACTAGCAGCAAGAACTGGCATGCATTGTCTTGAGGTGGAAAATTTGGGGAGATGTTCACCCCCCTCTCCCTGCCTCCTCTCAGACCCCCAGCAGAGCAAAAGGAAAGGGGAGTAGGGGAGGTTTTGGATGGGACGCAGGGAGGGTCTGGGCAGCTTGGAGGTGGGAGAGAGAGAGAGAGCTAGGATCTGATGAGAAACAGTCAAATGAAAAGAAGTCCCATTCAATTACATCATGTAATGGCAGACAGCTAAAAAGTGACAAGTTTTTAAAGTGCTTATATACCAATGCTAGAAGTCTAAATAATAAGATGGCTGAACTTGAGTGCCTTGTATTAAATGAGGATATTGATATAACAGACATCACAGAAACTTGGTGGAATGAGGATAATCAATGGGACTCAGTAATACCAGGGTACAAAATGTATCGGAAGGATAGAACAGGTCGTGCTGGTGTGGGAGGGGCACTATCTGTGAAAGAAAGCGTAGAATCAAATGAAGTAAAAATCTTAAATGAACCAAACTGTCCCATAGAATCTCTATGGATAGTAATTCCATGCTCTAATAATAAGAATACAGCAGTAGGGATATATTACCGACCACCTGGCCAGGATGGTGATAGTGACTGTGAAATGCTCAGGGAGATTAGAGAGGCTATTAAAATAAAAATCTCAAGAATAATGGGGGATTTCAGTTATCCCCATATTGACTGGGTACGTGTCACCTCAGGACGGGATGCAGAGATAAAGTTTCTTGACACCTTAAATGACTGCTTCTTGGAGCAGCCAGTCCTGGAACCCACAAGAGGACAAACAATTCTTGATTTAGTCCTAAGTGGAGCACAGGATCTGGTCCAAGAGGTGAATATAGCTGGACCACTTTGTAATAGTGACCATAATATAATTAAATTTAACATCCCTGTGGTGGGGAAAACACCACAGCAGCCCAACACTGTAGCATTTAATTTCAGAAAGGGGAACTACACAAAAATGAGGAAGTTGGTTAAACAGAAATTAAAAGGTACAGCACCAAAAATGAAATCCCTGCAAGCTGCATGGAAACTTTTTAAAGACACCATAATAGAGGCTCAACTTAAATGTATCCCCCAAATTAAACAACATAGTAAGAGAACCAAAAATGTGCCACCGTGGCAAAACAACAAAGTAAAAGAAGCAGTGAGAGGCAAAAAGGCGTCCTTTAAAAAGTGGAAGTTAAATCCTAGGAGGAAAATAGAAAGGAGCATAAACACTGGCAAATGAAGTGTAAAAATATCATTAGGAAGGTCAAAAAAGAATGTGAAGAACAGCTAGCCAAAGACTCAAAATTTATAGCAAAAAACTTTTTAAGTACGTCAGAAGCAGGAAGCCTGCTAAACAACCGGTGAGGCCACTGGACGACCGAGATGCTAAAGGAGGACTCAAGGGTGATAAGGCCATTGCGGAGAAACTAAATGAATTCTTTGCATTGGTCTTCACAGCTGAGGGAGGGAGGGAGATTCCCAAACCTGAGCCATTCTTTTTAGGTGACAAATCTGAGGAACTGTCCCAGATTGAGGTGTCATTAGAGGAGGTTTTGGAACAAATTAATAAACTAAACAGTAATAAGTCACCAGGACCAGACAGTATTCACCCAAGAGTTCTGAAGGAACTCAGATGTGAAATTGTAGAACTACTAACCTATCATTTAAACCAGCTTCTGTACCAGATGACTGGAGGATAGCTAATGTGATGCCAATTTTTAAAAAGGGCTCCAGAGGTGATCCCGGCAATTACAGGCCGGTAAGCCTGACTTCAGTACCAAGCAAACTCGTTGAAACTATAGTAAAGAACAAAATTGTCAGATGAACATAAGTTGTTGGGGAAGAGCCAACATGGTTTTTGTAAAGGGAAATCATGCCTCACCAATCTACTAGAATTCTTTGAGGGGGTCAACAAGCATGTGGACAAGGGGAATCCAGTAGATATAATGTACTTAGATTTTTAGATAGGAAACAAAGGGTCGGAATAAATTATCAGTTTTCAGAATGGAGAGAGGTAAATAGTGGTGTCCCCCAGGGGTCTGTACTAGGATCAGTCCTATTTGACATATTCATAAATGATCTGGAAAAGGGGGTAAATAGTGAGGTGGCAAAATTTGCAGATGATCCAAAACTTCTCAAGATAGTTAAGTCCCAGGCAGACTGCGAAGAGCTACAAAAGGTTCTCTCAAAACTGGGTGACTGGGCAACAACATGGCAGATGAAATCCAATGTTGATAAATGCAAAGTAATGCACATTGGAAAGCATAATCCCAACTGTACATATAAAATGATGGGGTCTAAATTAGCTGTTATCACTCAAGAAAGAGATCTAGGAGTCATTGTGGATAGTTCTCTGAAAACATCCACTCAATGTGCAGCAGCAGTCAAAAAAGCAAACAGAATGTTGGGCATCATTAAGAAAGGGATAGATAATAAGACAGAAAATATCATATGGCATCTATATAAATCGATGGTATGTCCACTTCTTGAATACTGCATGCAGATGTGGTCACCCCATCGCAAAAAAGATATATTGGAATTGGAAAAGGTTCAGAAAAGGGCAACAAAAATGATTAGGGGTATGGAACAGTTTCCATATGAGGAGAGATTAATAAGACTGGGACTTTTCAGACTGGAAAAGAGACGACCAGGGGGGATATGATAGAGGTCTATAAAATCATGACTTGTGTGGAGAAAGTAAATAAGGAAGTGTTATTTACTCCTTCTCATAACTCAAGAACTAGGGGTCACCAAATGAAATGAATAGGCAGCAGGTTTAAACAAACAAAAGGAAGTATTTCTTCATACAACGCATAGTCAGTCTGTGGAACTCTTTGTCAGAGGATATTGTGAAGGCCAAGACTATATAACAGGGTTCAAAAAAGAACTAGATAAATTCATGGAGGATAGGTCCATCAATTGCTATTAGCCAGGATGGGGGGAGGGATAGCTCAGTGGTTTGAGCATTGGCCTGCTAAACCCAGGGTTGTGAGTTCAATCCTTGAGGGGGCCACTTAGGGATCTGGGGCAAAATCAGTACTTGGTCCTGCTAGCGAAGGCGGGGGGCTGGACTCGATGACCTTTCAAGGTCCCTTCCAGTTCTAGGAGATAGGATAGGCGTCCCTAGCCTCTGTTTGCCAGAAGCTGGGGCACCTGGCATTGACTACTGTCAGAATACAGGATACTGGGCTAGATGGACCTTTGGTCTGATCCAGTCTGGCCACTCTTATGTTCTCCTACTCCCCCACTTCTTTTCTTCTCCTCTCTCCTTCCCCTCACATCACCCTCCCCCCTCATCCCTCCCTACATCTCCCCCACCCCCGCTCAGGGCCGCCCAGAGGGGGGGGGGGCAAGTGGGGCAATTTGCCCCAGGTCCCCACGAGAGTTTTCAGGGGCCCCCACGAGAGTTTTCGGCGGCAATTCGGCAGCAAGGGGTTCTTCCACTCCGGGTCTTCGGCGGCAATTCGGCGGCGGGTCCTTCACTCACTCCGGGACCCACGGCCGAAGTGCCCCGAAGACCTGGAGCAGAAGGACCCCCGCCACCGAAGACCCCAGGCCCCCTGAATCCTCTAGGCAGCCCTGTCCCCGCTGCCACCTTCCTTCATTCTCTGGAACATTCACTCCCACTCCTTGGGGTAACTGACCATGGGAAAAATTTATCGAGGGTTGGGTGGATTCTCCATCACTTGCAATTTTTAGATCAGGGTTGGATGTTGTTTAAAAGATCTATCTGGGGTTATGGCGGGGAAGTAATATGGCCTGGATGAGACAAAAGTCCTGTCTGGCCTTGGATAGCATCCCCTGCCCCACCTCTCACCCTGCCACAATCCAGCACGAGGGGGTGCCAGCCCCTACTCTGGGGAAGAGCCACCTGCATGCAGTGGCACTGGCGCAGCCAAACTGCCAACCACAGCCGAGCCCAGAGTGGATTTGACTGTGTGTAAGAGGGAGCTGGCCTGGGGGCAGGGGGTCCTTACTGAGAGGCCTCACGGAGGGCAGGTGATTTAAGTGCACGTGAGCTCACTCAGCCCACTGTCCATGTTGGCGGCTCAGCTCCAGGGTCAACCCAACTGGACCTTACAACACCGGGACAAGCGCTGGGGTTTCTCCAGCCCACAGGGTGGGGCAGCTCCAGATTGCAGTGGGGCCTGGGCCTCCCAAACACAGCACTTCTTTCTTCCACCTCGATGCAGTGATTAAAAACAATGGGTCAGCTCCTTGGCTGGCCCAGCGCAGCACCACTCCAGTGAGTTCAGTGGAGCGACACCAATTTACACCGGCTGAGGGTCTGCCCCAAAAGATGTAAAACACTTTCCACCAAGAAATCACCACCACATCTAATCGCTGCACCTTCCCCACAGGTGCGCTGATCAGTGAGTGCGACCAGCTGTCAGCCTTCTGGGTACAGGCCCCAGTACAGACCCAGCAGGCCAGGGCTCCCTGCAGAACAAGCATCTGCAGAATGCTAAGAAATACGCCAGCTGCAGCAAACCCTCTCTGCCCATGCACCCAGGCAGGGCTCATTCTGCCCCCCCCCCCCAATTTGGATAACTGCTCTGGTGGCCTAATCCAATGGCCACCCCAGCCGTTCCTTTGTTCTGAACGGGCGCTGGACCAGGCCTTTATCTGCAGCTGGATGGCTGGTTATATATGGCGGTGTCAGGTATGATGGCTCGTATGACACAAGGAGTTCCTCTTTTAAGGGAGTCATGGAATTTAGGGTCAGAAGGGACCATCGGATTGAGTCTACCCTCTTGTAGATCACAGGCCTTTACATTTCACCCAGTACAGGGGGTTTGGCTAAAGCAACTGCCAGAGAGGCAGCGAGGCTGCATTCGAAGACAGCCAGAGATGGAGGATCCACCACTTCTCTTGGCAGTTTGTTCCAATGGTTAATTGCCCTCACTGTTAAACATTGGTGCCTAATTTCTAATGTGAAGTTGGCTTTAGCTTCCAGCTATTGATTCTTGCTCCTTTCTCTGCTACATTAAAGAACCCTTTAGAATCCATGAAGGATCCAGGAATCTTCTCTCCACGAGGGTACGTAGAGGCTGGAACCAAGTCACAACTTGATTCAAGGGACATCTTGGCCAGATCTTCCAAATCGGCATAGCTCCACTGAAACCAGTGCTGATTCACACCAGCTGAGAACCCTGCCCACAAGATTTGGGCTTATTTTGCCCTCTGTGGATTTCTCCACTAAGAGAGAGTGCTATCCGAGGCACTCTGACATGTTACAGCAATGCCTCACAGTCAAACAGCATGAAAACTCAGCACAAAGCAGGAGGTTCCCCCTTCCTCCCCCACCCTTCCACCCTGCTGGGTACCTTGGCCAGTAGCAAAAGTGTGCGGCTGGTCCGGGTGTCGGCATGCTGGTCGCGGAGGTTGAACAGCTTTGGTGTCAAGATGGCAGGAGCGAAGAAGCGGAGGAATAAGAACCCACTGATGGCAATGTACTTCACATCCTAAGAGAGGATCAGAATTTCAACTGCCAGCATCAGCAGCCACCCTCCAAACCACCATTCCATAAGCAAAGAGTTACCGCTGGCTTGCAGTCTAAGTTGGATTTTGGTTTAGATTTAGGAAAACAACAAAGAACATAAGTCAAGTATCCTTGAGAGACAGAGAGCACGTCATGTGCATCTCCTCCAAAATATATGGGAGCAACTTGGAGAACAAAATCTATCCAGGTTTCAGAGTAGCAGCCATGTTAGCCTGTATCTGCAAAAAGAACAGGAGTATGTTAGTCTCTAAGGTGCCACAAGTACTCCTGTTCTTTTTGCAAAATCTATCCAGTGTGTTTAATTTGGCCCCATTATATATGCTATATATTATAGCATCTGGGTGCCTTCACCATTGGTAGTGGGTCAGTTGGGATTGTGGGTCTGGGGACTGTTTGAGCCTTTGTTCCCTGGATCATCCTTGATCAGCCTCAATCAGCCTTGTGATCACTCTCCCCTGTGTGATTAACGAGGGGGTAAGGCTGACCTAGGAGAGAAGGCTTAAAAGCCAGAAGCTGAGCGACCAAGGGGAGCTAGAGAACAGGGGAGTTTGAAAGGGAGTTGTAATATAATGGTTAGGAAGTGCCACCTCGCCTGTGCCAATGCTGCTCCTATCTCCTCCACCTGAACCTGTATTGAGACCGAGAACCTAGCCATGGATGCCTCTACCCAGATTCTGTGGCCTGCATTTCCCACTCTGAGAGTCAGGCTGGGGGGACCATCCAGCGTGAGAGGTGCCTGCTGGTGGAATCTCTCAGGAAGCAGGTGGGAGAGCTACAGGAGGAGGCGACTAGGCTGAGGAGCATCCATGCCCATGAGGAATTCATTGTGAGTATTCATATGGAGACCTCCAAGGCTGAGGAAGCTATCCAGCTACAGAGGACTGCTGTCACACCACTGGGGGAGGAGGACATGGCTCTGTCACAAGGAGGACACTGGCTGCTGGTTACTTCTGGCAGCAGGCAGTGCTCCATCCCTTCTCCCAACCCACTCACCATAATGATGAAGGACTGTTATGCTGCCCTGGTAACAATCCATGAGGAATCACCCCCAAAGGCGGAGAAGGAGAAGCCATGTACCCCCAAGGCTGGGAGGATCGCAACCACCACTCCCAGGAGGAAACGTAGGGTAGTGGTGGTTGGTGACTCTCTTCTGAGGAGGATGGAGGCACCTATCTGTCACCCTGACATGGCATCCCAGGAGGTATGCTGCCTGCTAGGGCCCGTATCCAAGACATTATGGAGGGATTGTCGAGGATCATCCGGCCCTCTGACTACTACCCCCTGCTACTCATCCATGTGGGCACTAATGATACTGGGAGGTACAACCCTGAGCAGATCATCAGTGACTACAGGGCTCTGGGAGGAGGCTGAAGGAGTTGGGGGTGCAGGTGGTGTTCTCTTTGATACTTCTGGTCAAGGGTAGGGGCCCAGGCACAGGCAGATGCATCCTGGAGGTGAATGCCTGGCTGCGAGGATGGTGTCACCAGGAGGGCTTCGGCTTCCTTGACCACGGAATGCTGTTCCAGGAAGAAGGACTGATAAACAGAGATAGAGATGGGATCCACCTATTCAGGAAGGGGAAGAGCATATTTGGATACAGACTGGCTAACCTAGTGAGAAGGGCTTTAAACTAGGTTCTACGAGGGCAGGTGACAGAAGCCCATAGGTAAATCAAAAACATGGAGACCTGGAAGAAGGGTCGGAGTCTGTGAGGAGCATGGGCTGTTATAGCAGGAATAAGGGAAAGACCAGAAAGAACATAGGGAGGAAATCAAATCAGTATCTTATGTCTATAAATTAATATGCGAAGTATGGGGAATAAGCAGGAAGAACTTGAAATGCTAGTTAATAAATACAGCTATGACATAGCTGGCACAGATTCATAGATTCATAGATTCTCGGACTGGAAGGAACCTCGAGAGGTCATCGACTCCAGTCCCCTGCCCGCATGGCAGGACTAAATACTGTCTAGACCATCCATGATAGATATTTATCTAACCTACTCTTAAATATCTCCAGAGATGGAGATTCCACAACCTCCCTAGTTAATTTATTCCAGTGTTCAACCACCCTGACAGTTAGGAACTTTTTCCTAATGTCCAACCTAGACCTCCCTTGCTGCAGTTTAAGCCCATTGCTTCTTGTTCTATCCTTAGAGGCTAAGGTGAACAAGTTTTCTCCCTCCTCCTTATGACACCCTTTTAGATACCTGAAAACTGCTATCATGTCCCCTCTCAGTCTTCTCTTTTCCAAACTAAACAAACCCAATTCTTTCAGCCTTCCTTCATAGGTCATGTTCTCAAGACCTTTAATCATTCTTGTTGCTCTTCTCTGGACCCT